GGGGGAGGGGAGGGGGGTCGGGAGGGTGCTCGGGAGGGGGGTCGTTAGAATACTAAAGAGCTTTATGATAGGGATCAGGTGAATTTTTGCTGGGATACATCGAAAATCCTCCAGCCATTTCCCCTTACCCCCCTTCATTAGGCAATAGATAATGAGGTGAGGCCTCCTTTTTCTACTGCACCTGAATTAGGGAAGATGACTAGCGAAACACTTATGATCTATCTGAACCATTTCCTGCCTGTTATGAAAGAAGTTATTAAATTCCACTTACATTTTTAAGTTCTCGATGCGATTTTCCATCTAAAAGATAAAACAAATTAAAACAATCATGATTAAGCATCACTTAGCGTAAAAAAAAAAGTAATCCTTAGACTAAAAACGTAAGAAAGATTCAAAGAGGTCCTTAAAAGGAAATTAAAGAGAATTAGAAACTTTTCAAACACAAAGCTTATGTAATTACGAGTATCCTGTTGAGCTTTGCCAGAACGCTATGGGGTTATAACAAACCGTGACTCATTGGCTTGTCTAGTTCGTTATAACTCCTTAAAGACATCAGACATTTTGGTTCTGACCGCTTGAAATCCCCCCTCCTAGCCATTACAACATTCACACTCGCGCAGACTTCAGTTGACCAACGCCGTGATTCGCGCGCTCTTTCCCACCAAACGCTCTGTACGACAAAGAGATAACCTTTTCTGTTATTCAACCCTTTACATCTACACCCTTACATCGGCCCTCATATTCTCCAGACTGTTCTCTATACATTTCCTAAGGTGCTGACGAGAAGAATTTATTAAACAATCAAGAGATTCTTGAGTTGTTAAACAGTTCCTTCATTCTCGTGACGCTAACATTTGAATCAGGGGTGAAAATATATTGAATGGAGAAATTGGATGCTAGGGACTCTTAGCGGTTGAAGGTCAATTCAAGAGCGCTTTATAATGTTTTTTTTTCTACACTTAATTCACTGACCTTTCCAAGTTTCATTTTCATTTTAGTTATGGTTATCTCTTGCTGGTATACGTTATCCCCAAGCTTTCCATTTGCAGTCCGCAGTTTTTCTATTTCATTGTTATGCTCGTTGACCTAGTTCATTAAATTTGTTACACCAGATTCGAGCCCAGCGCCTTCGCTGCTCAACCTGGAGCTTTCAAATTTTAGCTCGGCTTCTTTTCTGTTTCAAGTAGGAAATCAGAGAAGAAAAACAGGTTGAACTTTTAAGAACAAAAGTTTGATTTTTTTTTAAACATGTTACAAATCAAGTTAAGAGAGAATTTATCCTCTCTTGTACAAATACATCATACAAATACAAAAGAGAACACTTACTGAGCACGGTTTTTTCTTTCTTCCTAAATTAAACGGAACAAAAGTAAACAGTTTAACAAAATTCACTTGTACTAGCAGTAAGAAAAACGATTAAATACACATTTTTCTATTCTTGAATTTCAAGTTTCTTTAGTTTTCTTTCCAGTACATGTTCTATTGATGGCCCCTTGTTAAGGAAGTGATTGTGACTGGTCCATCTACCTTGAGCCCAGGTCCCTCATTTTTGAGCTTCGAAAAGAAAGTGCGAAAAATAGGATCTGAGTGACGCATGCGCTCCGAATTTAACTGTGCACCAGGGCCCAGTTGCTCGAAGGCCGATTAGCGCTGACCTAAGGTTAAATTTGA